TCATTATACTTCTATCTCTGCCAGAGTTGAGTCCTTTCTGGATTGGTCTTGTACTTTGACTGAATCCAGCCTCCTTCTCCACTGCCCCGCTGGTGCAGGCACTGTGTCAGTATGCACAGGGTGCTGGTGGTCTCCTCAGCAAGCACTATGCAAGTGTTCAACTTACTGCTGAGGAGCAAAAAGGGTTGGATGGAGTGGTGGGGCAGGAGGGATCCTGTAGACTTCATCAGAGTTTCTCTTATGTTTGTCATACAATGCCATGCCTGAAGGGCGAGACGTAAAGAGTATTTTGTTTGAGTTCTTTATCCACCTGTTTAGGGAATTTATTCAGTGAGAAGCTTATTTTTGGTGAACAGCTAAACCAACCTCTCTGACAATACATAAATATAAAATTAAGAGTTTTTGCAAGATCAACATTTTCAAAGCAGGTTTTACTTTCTTTAAGCCTAGGGAAGATGAAAAAGAGTGAATGGCCTTCTGGTGGGGAGTGGTGCTGTTACTTTATATAGATTAATGCAAACCACTACCTAGTTATAAGTCCCACTTCTGTAGTAGTCCCCTGAAAAGAGGTGTCATTGAGAGAAGATGCCAGATTTGGTTCCAGAAGAGCCATCTGCTGGAAATCTGTGGCTAAATGTCAATGCCATTATTTCAGGACCGAGTGGAATCATATAAACCTGCCTGAAAGATACATATCTGCAGAGCCAGGTGGGAAAATAGGTGGGAAGAAAAGACTGTTTTTTAAGTAGGAAAATAGTGGACATTGTGGATCTGAGTCATACTGGCTGAGGCACAGTTTGTTCCTGATCTAGCAAACCCCAGCAAACAGGGGACTAGCCCAACCCAATTTGAGAACATTCTAGGTCCCCAAGGTGTCTGCTAAGTTTTGTGAAAATCAGAGGGGGGGACTACTGACGAAAACTCTGTAAGTTATGCCCATCACTCACTAAGCATTAGAGAATTCAGAGAGGAGTGCCACCTCAAGAGACAAACTCCCCAGAGACTAGGTATCTCTGCTTCTGCTCTTTTCCAAGTTACTTCATCTGTCATCAGAAATGCTTTGGTGGTGGGAAACAGGGCAAGTTTTCCTGCCATCCAACAGAGATGCGAGTGCGGTCAGTTGTTCAGGAGCACATATCTTCTGGACTTGCTGAGACAACATTTGGGCTCCCTCTCCAGTGGTGCTGGTTGCACCAGCTGCCCCGAGTGTGGAGAGGGGCAGGTGTGTGCTAGGTGTGGGGTTCCTAGCCAGGAGTAGTGGGCAGTTCCCAGGGGGAAAGAGAGATGCTGAGGAAATTACTGGTCTGTCCCTAGCTGCCAAGTCTCTCTTTGTTTTCCTCTGCCTTCTTCTCCCTCTTCCCTCGAAATTATAACTCCAAATGGCTCAGGCATGGCCATTTTCCGTGATTATTTGCCTTTTTTCACTCTTCCTCAATTTACTCTCCTTGTCTCTGTAAGGAGGAAAAGAGATGTAGTTTCTGTTTGGAAGGTGGATGGAGAAATGGTACCATTTGCTCTCTGAATGGAAAGGTATTATCTGGCACACTGCAAGTCAGGGAGATAAAGGTGTGTGTATATGTGTGGCATATGGATTCAACGTGTCTCTGCCAGCATCTATTACCCTGACCTAAACAATGTGAGGCATTTGAATGTTAATCAAGTTGGCTGCTGGTTCTGTCCCAGTTAGAGCAAGAGCCATTGGAGCCAATTCATGGGAGCTTGAAGGGAAGGAGTGGGGTGAAGGAGGGAGGGGGGGTGCTTCTGTGAAAGGCAGGGAGAGATAGCCTTTCTGTAACTCAACAAAAGACAAGCAAACCTGTGTGCAGATGAAGGAGGGGTGGCTGGGGGAAGGTTACGAGTTGTCTTATTATGGAGAAGCTTGAACTGTCATCTGTACTTGATGGAAGCGAGAGAGATTGCAGTTGGAGCTGCAGAAGCGCTGCCTCTCTGATTGGATTAATAGAAAGGGAAGATGACTCTAGAATGGCTGCCCATTATCTGCACTACAAAGGGATTAGTGTGGGTTTCAGAGAAATTAATGGCTTTTGAGTTAGCGCAGAAATACTAATGAATGTCAGGGCCAGAGATGTACAGTGAACAAAATTGGTTCTCTTTTAGTTTGTGCATGTGCATGTGTATCTATCCATTTGGGCTATCAAAGTGTGCTTTTTCACTGCCATTTTGAGTTATAGATTAGGCTTTCAGTTTTCATATTTAGCTGAAATACTCTCACGTAGTTTATTGGTTTGCAAGGTATAGTTATACTCACCCTTTTAGACCTAGTGCCAAAGTAGCAATTTTTTAAATTGTTGTTGTGGTTTTAGCCACATCTGCAGGAAATCTTTGTAGATGGAGTGCTTTGAGCATGGTGTTAAAAGCAGGCTCCATTCTGAGTATATGGGTGAGTGGGGAAGCTGAGGCTGAGCTGGCAAGGCAAAACCTAAGTGCATCCTTTTAGTTTGTGTGGGTGGGAAGTAGCATCCTTCCCCCTTTTTTTAACCCACATGAGGTTTGCATACTCACATCAAGTATATCAAACAATTAATTTTCATATATGTTCAATAAATTTAACTGAAACTTGTGTACTTAATCCTTATAAATGCTTAAAGTTGGTTTTCATTGAAGAGCTACAAAAAGCTTTTACACTGTTGCTGTTCTGAATCCTCCTTCTGCCCATGGACAAAACTCACAATCAGCTATAGCATTGCATTCAGCCATGGGTGGGAGTATCTCCTTAGTATAAGTTCTGCTTTCTCACCAGTTGGTATCAGAAACCCCTGGACAGTAACTAGGTCCCTCAAATACTCATAGTCCCTGACTCTGCTTGTGCCCTGGAGAGTAAACAGACACACCCATTAGCCAGCAGTGGTGAGAGCAGCTTGGCCAGCAATCTTGACCATAATACCTGGGAAGTCCAGTACAGATGGGGGTGCGGTAGTTTCTGTGTAGTCTTGTTTTTGGCTCTTTGTTTCCAAGCTTCATCAGGTCTAGATGCTTCTGTTCTCATAGCTGTGTGTTGAGGACATCCTTGGTGTACTCTGAGGTGATTTTTATCATGTCTAAAGCTGGTTAAAGCATAGCCTGTTAACATTAGTGTAACTGGTTAAGCTGAGATGCTGAAAATGTTTTATGCCTCCAGCTGTCTGCCCTATCCCTCTTGCAAGAGCTGTCAGCCCCAAGGCAAAAACCTCGAGTGAAAGAGCTCCTGTATCTTGCAGTTTGTAATGCTGTGTGTTAGGGTCAATTGATGCTGATTTTGTTGTGATGTAATTATACTGGGAGTGGGTGAAGAGCTGTTTCCAGGTTGCTACCTTTCTCTTGTGTCTGGAATAGCAGTCTCCAAGGGAGGTGGACAACAGGAGGCAGAAACCTCTACCTGTGTCTGCTAATTCTGCCACTGTTTGTAAGTCAAGACCCATCACACTTACTGGAAAGGTGAAGTAGAACTCAGATAGGAGCAAGAATTTTTTCCTCAAGCCTAGGTTGTTTTGGGGTGCCAAGTGCTGTAGTTAGTATGACAGCATAACAATGAATGCCACTGAATTTATACAGGGACCATAAAAAATTGCATAGGGCCATGTCCAGCCCAAGGTTAATATGATGTTTGGGTCTATGGTGGCTGATGGTGCAAATCAGATTGGAACAAATTTTGCATGGAAACCTTTTTTTAAAACTCAGAAATGCTTTAGATAAGTCCTTTAAATTTGTATCACTTTAGTGCCTGGAGTGACTTTGGGTATGGCTGGTTTTCTGGCGATGAAGAAAATTCCCCTCGACTTTGCCTTGGGCTGGGGTTTGTGAAAGAGTCTGCTCCAAAACACCTGAAATGTTGAGATGCTCAGGTGTATGTGTTTTAGTCTGTCTGGGCACCCTCTTACTTTTCATTTTTGGTCCTTTCTGCTCCTCCTGAGCCTGATTCTCATAAATCAGCAAAGCTCCTCAGAATTAAACAGAGCTGTGCGAAATGTTCTGGTCCCAGGTCGTGCTGAAATGTGGTAACAAACTGCTATGTTGGACACAGTTCTCCATTCCCTGTGACCAGGGTCAGTCCGGGTGCCAGGAGTTGTACCCAGGTGCTGGCAATGGCGTTGTTCCAGGTGGTTCCAGCAGCCCCACCACAGGGCACAGCTGTGCCCATCAGCCACAGGTGGGGCCATTCTGGCTGTGTGCATCTCAGAAAGGGCAGAGGACTGCACAGCGAGGTGAGGAGCAGCTGAGGGTCAGAGGAAGAGAAGGTGCTGCAGGCCCTGGGGAGATCACTGTGGAGCAGGATCTCCCTGCAACCCCATGTGCGACCCCATGCTGGAGAATGTGGAGATTTCCTGAAGGAGCTGTGGCCGTGGAAAACTTGTGCAGGAGCAGGTTTAATATGAAGGACTGCAACTACCACAGCTCCTGGAGAGGACCCATGCTGGAGCAGGGGAAAGATGTGAGAAGGAGGCAGCAGCAGAGAGATGCTGACCAGATACTGCTCTTCCCCTCCCCCCTGTGCTGGCTGGAACAGGTGGGGAGGCAGAGGAGGTATGTGTGAAAACATGAAGTTGAGCCTGGGAAGTAGCAGGAAGAGAGGGTAAGGTGTTTTAATTTGTATGTGTTTCTCACTGTCGAAATCTATTTTATCTGGCAATAGATTACTTGATAGTATTGTCCACTTCTGGACTAGGTTCTGGGAGACTTGCAGTGTTTTGTTGCTCTGTTACTATTCTCCTGGATAATCTCAGGAAAATGGCTTTGTTTCTCTGTCCTTATGTTTCTCTGTTCCCTTTTCGTAGAGTGTTTTGGTACCTCTGGGTAAAAAAGTGCTGTATTATCTTTGGCTCAAATGTAGAGTTAGTGCTTGTGTTTGATAATTATAACCTGTTAGATGAAGGCTGAATCTGTGATCCTATCCTCGGATGTGCCTTGTATAGGTAGGAGAGGTGTATAAGCCAGAATGATGTAGCAATTTAAGACAATTAAAAAAATAATTAATGGTAATGTTCTCATTTTGTTTCTTCCAGAACACAAGCCAGTGTTCCCAAATCTCCTGAAGAAGGGATACTTAGAAGTTAGAAGAGACAATGACAGCTACTGGCAAACCTGTTATGCTGAGCTCTCCCCATACAAACTGTACCTGTATTGCTTGGACAGCAGTGGCAACCAGACTCTTCCCACCGTGTATCCACTCATGCGTTTTCAAAGGGTCACTGTTACTGGTGGCATTGAAACCAAGGTGGTGGACACTGTCCTGTCAGACAGCTCACAGCTACAGCTGAAGGCAGAGTCCTCGTGGGAGACACTGGACTGGGGACAGAAACTCTGGGAAGCAGTGCATGCTTCTGTGCCTGCTTTCACGAGACAGCAGGAGAAACTGGAGAATATGCCAAAGCCTGAAAATAGCAGTGACCTTTCTCAAACCAATGGATTATTAGAGAAGCCTATGGAGCTCTTCCTGTCCATGAATTTGACTGAAAACACTAAAGAGTATCAAAATATTCTCAAATCAGGGACTCTTTACAGGTTAACTGTCCAGAATAACTGGAAGGCATTTACTTTTGTCTTGAACAGGTCTTATCTCATGGCATTCCAACCCGGTAGGCTTGATGAAGATCCTCTGCTGAGCTACAATGTCGATGTGTGCCTGTCGGTGCAGACGGATACTCAGGATGACTGTGACTCTTGCTTTCAGGTCATTTTCCCCCAAGATGTCCTGCGCCTGCGTGCAGAGACTCGTCAGAGGGCCCAGGAGTGGATGGAGGCATTGAAAGCAGCAGCCAATGCTACTAGAAGTTTAACTCAGAACCCACAGGTCACACTTAGGAACAAACCTGGAGATCGGCCCTTGGGAAGTGACCTTAGAAAGAGCAAGCGCCAGTCTGTGACCACCAGCTTCCTCAGCATCCTGACCACGCTGTCTTTAGAGAGAGGGCTCACAGTTCAGAGCTTCAAGTGTGCAGGTAAGCAACCAGGCTGCAGCATCTGCACCTACTCCCCTTCTGCAGGAAAAGAAAATCACTTGAAAGAGCATTTATATGTTCTAGCAGCACACAGCTGTTCCCTGCCTCTCACTGTGGCCATAGTTAGCCTTTTTTTGCTCTCTGTAAAATGTGGATCAAAACCTATGGGATATTCAGAGGTTCATCTGCTTTTGATGACTAATGCTGAAAAGTTAGGTGCTGCGCATAAAGCACTACAGGGGCCAGGGCTGCCTTACAGGGTGGCTGAGCTGTTTTCTTGATTCAGGACACTGTAAAGGTGGTCCAGAATCACTGTAAATTTGTCATCTGACTCTAGTCCTAGGCAAGATCATGATTTTATGCAGTTTGGGAATGAAGTGAAAATAGAGAGGACCTGTGTGAATGCAACTCATTGTCATTTTACTTTAGCAAGAGCACCTGTGTGGAGCAAATTTGGGCACCTTATGCCTAAACTGTGGTCTTTGACTCGATTTAGTTACACTCCCTTCAAAATTGTCTGCTCTATTAGAAACAGCTCTTTTGGAGGGTTTTTCTCTTGTGATATGGGAGCTGTGAGGGTCCTACCTCTTCCCCACTCTGCTCTGAGGTGGGGGTCTCCTGCTGCTCTGGAACCACACATGACTCTGGGGATGTCTGGGTGAGCCCAGGACCTGCTGGCTGAGCTCCAAACGTACTGGACTGCACTCAGTACTGGCTGTGGGTGCAGCTGAGTTCATCCCTCTGGCAGTCCCCAGCAGGTCACGTTCCTGCTCATCTCTCTACAGTGCATGGCACCCACCTGGCAGCCAGAGCATCCTGAAGGTTGACCTCAGCCTCATTGCAGTTATTGATTTGGTCACAGTAGTTGGGCTTCTGCCTGAATTCAGGTCTGTTCTTGGCCACATTTGCATGACTTTATGTCAGTTTTTTCTAAGAGTATTCATGTGCCAAACTACTGCTGAGTGTAGTAGGTGCCTGAGTCCTGTGCTAACTCTTGACTACCTGAACACTCCTGGGCAATGGTCATGTCTTAACTTTAAGGATAGTTGTGAGAGTGAAAACTGCAGGGAGACTCTGGGAATGACTCGAATAAGTATCCCCGAGATAGGTCCAGCCCAGTGTGTTACCCAAGAGACAGCTTTGTGAAACCCAAGAAGACAGCAGAATTAACTGCCTCATTTTAAGGTGGTGTCCCAGGTGACAGTAAACAGTATATTCCTTTCTCTTAATTTCTTTTAATTCAAAGCTCAGTAGAGGAAAATTTTTTAAATTTTGCTTCATTCTCTGACAGAGGTCCAGGAGAGTTTCAAGTGAACATTTTTGCACCGTTCCCGGAGTGGGCTGCTGTTTAACCCAAGGGGCCTGCTGGTGGTAATTACAGCTTGCAGGCACCGAGACCAGTTTTCCCCAGGGCTGCTGGGAGGGGTAAGCTTGGATAAAGATGAGGAGGGGGGAGGAAGAAAAGTTTTGCTGTGAATTCTTCAGCCATTTAGTGCAAATTCCTGTAATTACCGTCTTTGTGTCCTGTCCCAATGGCACATAATACAGCAGAAGCCTTTCCTAATTGAGACCTTACAGGAGGTACAAATCCCTCCTTTGTTCAGCCTGACAAATTAGTGCCAGAAAGTGGCAAGGTCCGAGTGGGAATCAAAGGCAAGCAACACAAAGATGGAACTTAAGGCTACAGTAATAACCCTCTCTAGTCCTGCAGGGGTGGGAGGGAAGGAAAAGTAATGACCAATGAAAAATGAAGGGGTTTTTTGTTATAAATTCCCTTGACATGACAGCACCTCTGGGCTGCTTTATTTATTTAGGAAAAGTGATTAAATAGTAATACAACAGGGCAGACCATTGTCTCTCGAGCTACCCCCCTTCCTACAGACCCCTGCTGCCTTGGCTAATTGATTGACAATGAACCTCTGATAAAGAAGGTTGCTAGAAGGACCTGATGGGGACAGGCATTTTTTAATTTATTTTTTCTTTGCAGTCTTTGTGGGGTTCCCCTCCCTGTTTTTTGGGTTTTTTTTTTCTGTTTGAAATGCTCTCTGCATCCCTCTTTCCTTTTCTCCCTCAGTAAAAGCTTTTCAAGGAATTGCTCCCAGACAAACAGCTGACAAGCAGGTAGGGAAGAATGTGAATGCCTGTGCCTCGCTATTGACAAGTTTATCTTGGAGTCTGACTAGCACTTTTCAACTTGTGATATAAACCGGGGCGGTGGTGTCAGATGTAGTCGTGGGGCAGGGGGGACAAACTGTTGATACACTGGAGTCAGAAGGGCAACTTGAAAAAAGTGTTCTTTTGCTTGATCAGCAGATACAAAAGCTTTTCCCACATTTCTAACTCTTTGTCTTACTGCAGAGGGCAGGGCATTATTTCTCAAAAAATGAACGAATAGGCCACTGATTAACAGTGGAGAGACCGGTTTTTTATAAATGCTTTTACGTTCGCAGCCATTACTTATATTTTTGGCTTGGCACAGCAATACACTTTGGAATGTGCAGTTAACTTTTGGCACTTCAATGGCAGCGTCCTTTGTCCTTTGCATGTTCATATAACTGCGGGCTTGATCTTGCCCTGACGCTGGAGTACAGCAGCGTTCCTGTGGGAAGCGTTTGGGGCTCTGAGCAAGAGTAGCAGCTGAGAGCATTGATCTACTCAGGTGAGACTTTGAAGGGACCTACCCCTCATCTTCAAAGGGATGTGAAGTGAAAGTTGCTTGCAAGTCCAAACTCATAAATATCAGGTTTTATGATTTGTTCTTTGTTGTGTAGGAAATGAGAGACATGCATCATGTTAGGATGATTTGTTGGGGGGGAATTTATTATTTTTGATATCTTTATTTCACCTGGATTAAGAGAAATCCCTGAACTGTTATCCTAAATTTGGGATCAGGAAGCTTCCATGAAAGCATGTCTTTGGCACATGCAGCATCTTGTAGAGAGCAGTAGCTGCTTGTGAGTACTTCAGTGGCTATCCTGTCTCCCTGTTAGGCCATCTATGGGCTTCTGGGGAAAGGTAGGCATTTCTCCTGGAGGAACTCTCCTGGAGGTCTCTATTTCTTTGTCATGTGCCTTCACTTTTCCATAGATGGGGAAGACAAATGGCCTCTGCCCTTTGCCCGCTGTTTTTGCATAGCTCTTGTTCTTTAGATGTCTCTCGTTTCACCTTTTTTTTTTTTTCTCCCTGTCCTTTATTAAAACAAACGCTCTTTCCAGAGAAATTGGTTGTGTCTTCCAGGAACTCTTTTTACTTAGACAGCAAGTCCTAATGGATATGGGAGTTTCTGCCTTCTGAAAAATGTGCTCTGCACCCTTTCATTTGTCTGTGTGGCTTCCTTGTCCTCTTCTGGGGTGCCTTCTGTCTTTTCCTCCCTGCTTTCTCCATGTCTCTGCAGTTGCCAAAAGGATAAATACTGCTATTAGAGCTCCACTGACTTGCCTGGCTGAGCTGAACACTAGGTGCAGAGAAGCCAAGGTTAGTAAATGGGCTACTTCCTGAGCTTGCAGCTCTGTCAAATGGAGCAGCAGGTGGAAAGCTGTTGTCTTTCAAGCAGTCATTCTGCATCTAGTGCTGTGATAATGTGTGTGGTTGGGGGACAGTCCAGTGCAACATGCTCAGCTCATGCAGCCTCTGCTCTAGCTCACGCCATTATTTTGAAACCAGCTCCCACTGCAGTAAAAGTATTTTTTTTCCTTTCAATGAAAAGAAAGTATTTTCCTAGTAGCTTGCAAAGCCAGCAAGTGTGATTTTAAAAAAAAAAAAAAATAGCCAAAATATCCAGGTGCAACATTGACTTTGTTCAACTTCTCAAAAAGCCATATAGTTGAAACTTCTCAAATACAGATAGTTGAGAAACATCCTTGAATTTAGGAAATACTTTGTGAACTGTCATCACACCCACTTATTTGTTACACGTCACTGAAATAAAAGTATTAGAGGACAAATCTTAGAAAATGTATCACAATAATAAAATACCGTAAGGTCCTTTGGAAGGCTGTCAGCACTGTTGTCACATTTTCAGTCCCAAATAACAGTTGTTCTCACCTGTCCAGGGCTTTTAGAATTGTGCCTTTTCTAAGTGCTGTATTTGTTTTGTGCTTGGTTTCATTTCAGTTGATCTCTTTGTTCCAAGGCTTCAGCAGCTTTTTGCCTTCCCTGTATTTGAGACTCTGTAAAATCCCTTAAGAATGTGTTTTGCACTGTAAAAGTTTTATTGTTTAAGTATCTTCACTTTAGACCACAGTCTTCCAGTCTTGTATGTGACTTTCAGGCCCTGTTTCAATTAATTCAAAAGTATAACTTCCACTGCTAACAGTGGTATTTCTAAACTCATTCTTTGGTAGCCAGAACCACCTGAGCAGAAAAAAACATGCTGCTCTGGGAAAAAGCCTGGAATGTGCACCGTGCATTTGCTTGGCATCAGAGCATCCATGCAGATGTGCAGCCTTGAGGGACACATACAGAAGGAAAATGTCTGCTTGAGGGTCCACTGCTGTAGAACTAGGACATTTGTTTGTGTGTTGGCAGGGCTCCCCCCCTTCTGTCAGGTGCCAAAGCAGTGTATTATTGGCAAAACTATTACCTGTGGATCGAATCAGGGGCAATGTAAAAGAAATTGCAGAACCAACCAGAGTGTAACTGGTGGGAAGGGTTTAGGTTCTCTGTCTGGCCTTCTCCAGTGTCTGTAGTCTCTGACACATACGTGTGCTGTGTAAATCTGAATAGTTCACATGCCCAAGGTAGTGCTGTGGTAGTGACGAGCGACCAAGAAGAAATTCAGCCAAAATAGCATCGGCAAAAATGCGTAACCATACTTACTGTGCAGTTGTTCCTTGTGTTACAAGGAGATACAAAACCAGTTGTGTGTTCAAACAGAAACAGAGCTGCTGTTTCTAGGTATGTTAGTGCTGTATCAAATAAATGAAACTTGGCAAACCAGTTGTAAAAGAGTGAGTGGTGCAGGGGTAAGTGGCCTTCAAACTAACTGTGGAGCAGAAATG